GAGGAAGGGGGCAGCTTGTTTGCTTTGTGCCTGGAGCAGCAGATTTGGGATGGAAATTGCAGGCCTGGTTAGGCGAGGAAGGGGTTAAAACAGACATTGGCAAGAAAGCAGCTGGGAGGACACACAGCTGCAGGGGATAAAAGCCCTCAGGAGAGGGTTAGCAGGGACCCCCTTCAGGAAGAGGTTGGCTGAGCCTCTTGTGGGAGAGGTAGAGGCTTAAGGATGTTGGGCTGTGTCCTTTAGCGGCAGAGTTGGTTTAGGAGATCAGTGGGTATCTCTTCTGCAAGTGAATGCCCTTGTTTGTGCTCATCTGCTGTGGCTGCTCGTGAAGCCATAATTCCTTTTAGGCCTTCAAAAAGGCGGTGTAGGGTCCTACAGCTTTACTATTTTTAAAAAGCCCAGCTACTGTTTTTAAAAGGCTCAAGCTGTGGTTGGAGAGCTGAGGGAGATGAGGAGAATGAGGATGATTCCTGGCTAAGGAAAGATATATAAACCTTTACTAGTGGCAAAGGGGTTAAACTGCAGAACTGTGCTATAGGAGCTGATGAACCTTGGCCTGCGAAAGGAGAGATGTAGCAAGAAACTTCTTAACAAAGGGGAAAAACTAGTCCATAGGCTCAATGGCCCTTAAACCGGCAGGGAAGAGGAGTCAGGGCCTGCTGGCTATCAGTGAAAGGTCTTAGCTCACCAAAGCTGGGGAGGGAGCAGGGGGTGAAAACACAGAAAGGAACCTCCAGGTTAGGAAATTTGGATGTTTTACTTTTTTCCCTAGTGTAAAGGTAGCAAGGTATGAGAACAAGTTGCCTGTGGATGTTACAAAGCAGAAGGTCATTACTAGCAGAAGGCCTTCAAAACAATCTCGTAAGCATCTGCCAGGTACGTCAAAGTGACGCTGATCCTGCCTCTGGACAACTAGGTGATCTTTTAAAATCACACTTTGCCCCTCGCTACCACCAAGTATTGCATTTCTCTTCTTCCCACTCAGCTGTGTCTGGAAATACCAGCACCGAAGCTTATGAAGTTGAAGATAGATCTTAAAAGGAATGTTAAAGAAATGTTTAAAGAGAACTTGATACTTGCTTACTCTGTCTTTCTAATAAATTTAAGTGTATCGCATCCATCCATAACACCAAAAAATAACTTTGTTTGCAAGGACACCCTTTTACCCTCTCCAGGTACCGCTTTACCCTTTCAGAAAGCTGATTAAGTCCATGACTACTCAGCCTAAATGATCCTAATTTCTGCCCTAAACGAGCAGTGCGTTTTTACCCTTCTAAACCTGCAGAGAAACCACAGGTCTGCAGCTCAGGAGGCCTAAGGCGTCTGCACGTTTACCAGCTTGTGTCATTTCCAAAAATGTCAGAGTTGAGTATTAAGAAAGCAAAATAACTTTCTAGATAGTATGGTTTTCCACTGAGATCAGGAAACCTTCTATTTGGCAGCTAAAGCATCCAGCATTTGCAAGCTGTAAGTGCACAGCGAAGAAGTTCCAAAGATAGTTTTATCAGGAATAATAGCTGAAAAGCAGTGTGATGAGACATGTCTTGGACTCTGCGGTGCTTTTAGCTCTAACAGCTGCTTTGTAAGCTCTGTTTCCTACCACTGCTAAAATTCCTTAAAGTAAAGCAATTAGGAGTACACCCGAGATCAAACCGTTTTTGCTCGCTTCTAAATGAGTTTGTCATTACAGAATTATGGACCTTTTTCTATTCTGACCCACATGAAAGACGCATAAGCACTGAAACAAAAGACTATATTTAAAATACAATTTAGTTGCCCAAGAACACAGAGATGCCTACTAGATCTTCAAAAGCCAGTATTTATAAACTCTCAAAGTGGGACTCGGATGCATCAGTTCCCACTAAATCCCCCCAAATACTTTCTTGTGTGTGTTTGTGGACCTTTATAGGTCTGTCCAAAGTTCCCCCAAATGAAAATCGCATTTTAATTAAATGTTTGTATTTCATTATCCTCCGTGGCCCACTCTGGAACAACTTAGGAAGCGTTTCTGGTGGCTTGGATCGGTGCTGTATTTTCCTGGGGGATGGAAGGTCGTTTTTGGCACAAATAGGCCTTGGTCTGGGCAGAACTTTTGTACGGGGTGTGAATAAAGCAAAGCTCCTTGTGCTTTCCTGGATGAAACTGTGAGCGGCCTTTCTTGCCAGGAGACAAGAAATAGCCACGTTTCCCCGTGCCGTTCACGGAGGGATTAACCCAGAGCAGCTATGGGGGGAATCGTGGGGATGATCTGGGGGACATCCTAGTGGGAATCGCTCCTGCTTCCCTCGCAGAGCCGCTCGCAGCTCCGTTGCCAGCAAACATTTTAAGATAACTCTGCTCTCTTTGCTCCTTGGACCGTGTAGGAAGGCCCTGCACATAAACAAGGGATAATCTCGGGATTCTGCCTAACAAAAATGGCTCTGTGTGAAGCTCTATGAGTTGTGAAGTGGCTGCTGCTCCAGGCCCGGCCCTGTGAGTGCCCCGGGCGGCAGGAACCGCGACGCCCGGGGGCCTCTGCGCGGGCCGGGGGTAGAGCCGGGGACGGGCCCTGAGGAAACCGGCGGCGAGGCGGCACTGGAACCGGGACCGGGCCGGGGCCGCTGCGGTTCGCCCCGCTCCGTCCCGGCGCC